TCACCGTGTGGTACAGCAGGGCCTCGCCGTCGCCCGGCTCTGACAGCTCGCTCAGCTTGCGGTCCCACTGCAGGACGCCGGGCTCGCCGCTCTCCAGCACCTCCATGGCGCTCGGAGTCGGCCGGGCCGAGGATGCTGAGGTCGGAGGAAATCGGCGAGATCTCGCGCGTGTGCGTGCGTGTGCGTGGGGCTTGTGCACTGGGCAGGGACACGTCTGCTCCCCTGGCCGGGGACCTAGGAGATTTAAGGATCCCAGAGACACAAGCGGCGCAGGACTCCGGTCGGAGGGGTTAAGCTGGGATGTGCAACCAGACCCGAGGCAATAAATCAGCTCGCATCCCAACAAAATCGCTTCAGGAGAAGCTCACTTTCCACTACCGCTCCAGACAGAAACTTTCAGACTCCCAGATACGACCCCACCTCCCTCCAGAGCAGTAGCCAATCGGACATCCGCTTCTCCTGCTATACCCAATCAGAAGTCTTTCTCTTCATTCTGTTCCGCCCAGAAAGACAAAACCGAAGGAAGTCTCCGCCCAGGCTTTGGAATGTGGGCCCGGAGCACCTTAGACGTCACCGGGGAACTCCTCCTGCCTGAGTACAACCAGCTGCCGGAGGTTTGAGGCAGCGGACCAATAGAATTCTTGAGTCTGGAAGTGATGGACGGGGAGATAGACCAATAAAAGAGGAGAACCTAGGAGGCACAGCCAATTGAATAGAGACAAGAATACATTTTATAAAAGAGGGAGGGCGCACCTCAGTCTCCTCCTCGAGAATCCCCAGAAAGTATCTCCTACGCTGGGAAGGCGTGCTAGAGTTGCTGTGCTGCAGAATTTCCGCGCAAAAAAAAGGAACGGGCTTAAGAGCTGTCCAGAATATTTCCAAGTAGTTTAGTTCATTTGAGTCACTCTGGATTTTTATATAATGAATTACATTCATGCAAAATATGAATATTGCCCCGTGCGTGAATTTGTATTATCACAGTTCTAGCAAATGAGCATTCTTTGTTCTAAATAGCTTTTGCCCATTTTCTGTTTCCTCTCTTCTAGCATGTTTCTTATGGACTTCGCTTACTCGGTTTTTGTTTGGTTTAGTTTTTCTTTTATTCACTTCACAACGTTACGGATAAGAGGCAGTATGGTGCTTTTTCAGTACTAGAGAAAGGGGCTGAAGTTCTTCAATTCACAGAGCTTCATCCTAGTGGAAAGTCAGGCAACACACAGATACATAAATGCTCAATATAATTTTGGAAAGTGGTAATTGCTGTCAAGAAAAATAAAAGCAGGATAAAAGGATGGTTGGTGCTATTTCAGATATTGGTTGGAGAGGTTCTTTCTGGGCAGAAAGAACCTTTAAACGCCTTCTGAATGAAATGAGAGGAGCGGATATTTAGATGCCTGGAAGGAAGAGGGACCTGGCAGGGCAGTGTGCGGTGAAGAGGGGCCTGAGAGATGGGCATGTGCCAAATCATGCCACCTGCCTAAATTGGAGAAGAGAAGCCTTTTTCTTTAAAAAAATTTAAAAAGTGACTTTTTTTCTACCATCTTTTTTAATGCCTCCTTTTAAGGAACCAGACCTTGGACTATAGTTTGCCCACCTTAAATATAAAGGAGCTATTGCCAGTCAGCTCTAGATGTTTTGCAGAATGGCAAATTCGGGTACCAGGAATTGCTTCACTCCTTTGACAAGTAATTTTTGGTGGTGGAAAGAGTCAAATATCTTAGAACTTTTTGTTGTCTTTAAGCAGCAATTTACCATATAAATTACTCCATTTGTCCACACTGGAGTCTTTCAAGGATTATTTTCATGCTTAAATAGAAACTCTAGTTTTTGGGTATCATCTTCCTTAAATAATTGTTTTTCTCATTTTTCTCTCAAGTTGTTGGTTTTTCTTTCCAACCTTTTGATCTCCTTTACCATGTCCTTTCCATGCACCTTTCAACTCTTAAAGGCCAATTTAAAAAAAAAATAGTATTCAGCAAGAGAAAGGGAAGTTAGAAATATATATGTTCTCCCTAATATGAGAGTGCAAACATTTATCTATGAAACATTTCTGCTTTTGACAAAATCGGATCCTGGTTATGTCCATGTGGGAGGCAGCTTCTAAAATGGCCACTAATGACCACACTGCCTGAGTCAGCACCTCTGGGTAAGTCCCTACTCTTGAATAGGGCTAGACTTGAGGGCTTCCTCAAACAAAGAGACTATTTCAAAAGTGAGGGGACATCAAAAGGGTCCTTACTCCTGAAGTGCTTCTTGTCTCTTCCTCTCTTGCTTGCTGAGGAAACCCAGCCACCCCATTGGCAGCGCAGCATGGGACTGAGGGAGGTGTTCGGCCATCAGCCAGCAAGGAACAGAGGCCCTCAGTCCAGCAACCCATGAACAACTGAATTCTGCTAATAACCCTGGAAATTAAAATGGACCTGGATCCTGCCCCACATGAGGCTTGACATGATACAGACCCCATCCACACTCTATAGTGAGAGACCCTGAACCAGATACTGCTAAGCCTCCCTCAGATTCCTGACCCGCAGACACAGTGAAGTAATACATACATGGTGTTTTAAAATGCTAAGTTTTTCCTTTGTAAAAGAGGTATTATGATCATTGGCACCCTCAATGAGTTGGTTAAATACGTCTATACTCTAATTATAATGCCATAAACCCACATGGTGAGTTTCTTCAGTCTCCTTTGCTTGCTGTATCCTTCAGATGGAGATACATGGAAATTCTCACCAGCCTGTCTTTCTGTTTTGCATCTTGAACACCAAATTCTCTCACTGTTTCACTGTCACTCATTCTTAGGAGTCAGCAATTTAGTTGACTCTTTTCCCAGTGTCACTAGCAGCACTTGTCCCCCCTCTGTTATTAACAGATAAATGACACCAATGGTGATTTCCAATGCTGTTTGGAAGATATGTAAGTCAATAGATATTTTTCTCATTTTTCCTTAATATTATTTGCTGTCTTCTGCATGGGCCTGTTTACAAATTTACTCTGCATGCTTTCTATGCCTTCATCTCAATTTCTAAGATGAATCCATAATTTGACACTTGACAGGTTCCCACATTATAAAAATAGAAGCCACGTTTCAGGTTGAGATAGCTCCACTCATCAGCATGCTTTTGTATTTGACAATTCAACAAACATTAATCTATTGAATTTTCCCTTTTCATACCCTGTTTTCAATTTATGCACAAGAATATGTTAAGTACCTGCAAAATTTCAAGCACCATTTTATCCACAGTTTTCTAGGTATAAAACTCTCTTAAAGAAAGAAATGGGTTCTGTCAGACACCTTTTTCTAGACTGCTACTTAAGGAAGAAGAAAAGAACATATTCAGTTTGAATGTGAAGGTGTGAAACCCAATGGCAGGAAGGAGGAAGATGGAAACATTCTTGTCTGGCATTTCTCAGGCATTCTTGGAGCTGGGGCTGACATTTGACCTCAAGGCTTAACCAAATCAGTATCGAAGCAGCCAAAGCAACTGAGATTGGTGATACTCAGAAAAATGTCTCCTCTTCCTCAGGTGGAAACTTTCCAGGAGTCTCAGTCCAGCAAATCCATGAGTTTAAGAGTTCAGTGGCAAGCTTGTTGCATTTTGTTGTTGAGAGGAAAATTCAAAGTCAAATCTGTGCAAAACCCATAAGCAAAGCAACCTGAACTATATTGGGACACAAATTCATGACACAAACAGAGAAGATTTGGTCTTCCCAAGGGAAAATGTGAGGAATATAAGACTTATAAGGATCTCTCTCTCCCTCTCTCTCTCTCTCTCTCTCCTGTCTCATGATGGGGGGTAAGAACTCTAAAAAAATGAACCCCTAAAATTAAACACCCAGTCAAGAAATTGTCTGGAGAAATGAGCAGATGTTTCACAGAGGGAGAAATACAAATGGTTAACAAATATGTGAAAAAATGTTCAATATCTCTGGCCATTAGAGAAATGCAAATTAAAACACTACTAAAATCCCATTTAACTCCAGAAAGAATGGCAATCATTAGGAAACCAAACAATAACAAATACTGATGTGGCTGTGGCCAAAAGGAAACCCTCCTTCATTGTTGGTGGGAATGTAAACAAGTGCAACTAGTAGATTTATCAAAGAATTGAAATTAGAAATTCCATACAACCCAGGTATTCCTCAGCTAAAGAGCTTAAGTCATCATACCACAGTGGTACATGATTAGCAATGTTTATAGCAGCATAATTTGTACTAGCTAAATCCTAGAAGCAGCCTGTATAGCCATCAACTGATGATTGGATAAGCAAAATGTGGTTTCTCTATATAATGGAATACTACATGGCTACAAAGAGTGACACATTTGAGGTATTTGTAGGAAATGGATGCACTTGGAAAATACAATACTTAGTGAAATAAATCAGACACAGAAGCTTAAACACCGTATGATATCTCTTATTTGAGTGAAGCAAAGACAAATGAAGAAAATGATAAGGATGGCTAGAAAGGGACAACAGGACAGAAAAGTGGTCCAAGGGAACAAGGATGAGGAGTGAGGAGGAGGTGAAGGGGAAATGCGAGGAATAAAGACGTGTCATGTACAGGATCCTAAAACTCCGATCAATGTAAACACTATACTCCATAACATGAGCTAAGACAAATAATATCAGCAAATACGGAAAAGGTGATAGGGGAACTGGAGGAGGAGCAGGGAGGGTGAGGGAAGGAGATTAGAAAAAAGCTGTAATATGTACATGCAACAACTCCCCAAGATGATTGTAAACTGTGTGAATTGCAAATATGCACTAGTAAAAAAAATTAACAACAGCAAAAAACTGGCCCATGTTAACTGGCCCTGGTGTATCATTCCAAGGGCTGCCACTATCAAGAAGCACTGATAGGTGACTTAAAACTACAAAAACATACTGTCCCACTCTTGTGTGGGCCGGAGGTGCAAAGTCAACATGAACAGAGCCAGTCTTCTTCTGAGAGTGTGGATGAACTCTTTTCTTCACTCTTCCTAGTGTCTGGTGGTGGCCATCAACCTTGAGCACTCATCGGCTCTCTAATCTCAGCCGCCATGCCATCCGATTCCTCTTGGTGTCTGAGTGCTCCTATGGCCTTCCCTCTCCCTGTGCCTTTCTGCCCTCTGCAGTAGGACCTTATTTTAACTATTTTCATCTGCCATGACCCTAGTTCCAAGTAATGTCCATGCTGAGGAACTGGGGGTTAGAGCTCTAACCAACCTTTCTGGGGTACATAATTCACTCATGTGACCATCAACATCGCCCCACAAGTTCCCAGCACAAACACATCCCTTCTTGATCATTTTATTATATGTTCTCAAATATATTTCATTGATAAACCCATCATTGTCCAAAGAAATGAAGCAAGCTTCATTATATTCCAGATTTAGCATTCCTGTCCTTGCTCTTCGGGGTATGTGCCACCCT